GGAATCGGGGTCTTGCAAGTGCACACCCAGTGTGCATCAATTCTTTCGGCTGCTGTAACAAATGACCACAAACGTGGTGTCTGAAAACAACACAAACGTCTTCTCTTACAGTTTTGGGGGTCAGATGTCTGAAGTGGGTCTCACGGGGCTAAAATCACGATGTCAGTGGGGCTGGTTCCTTCTGCATGCTCCAGGGAGGAATCCGTTCCCTTCCATTTTCCAGCTTGTGGAGACTGCCTGCATTCCTTGGCATGTGGCCCCATCCTCCAGTTCAAAGCCGGCAATGGCCCATAGAGTCTTTCTCATATCGCCTCACATCACTCTTGACCAACCCTCCTACCTTCCTCTTTCCCATCTAAGGACCCTTGTGGATTACATGGGACCCACCTAAATAATCCATCTCAAGGTCAGCTGATTTTCAACCTTAACTCCCTCTTACCATGAAATATAAACATATTCCCCACTTCTGGGATGAGGATGTGGACCTCTTTGGGGACCGTTCTTCTGCCTTCTATACAGCCCTGCTGTTCGCTGGTGTAGAATGCCTCAGCCCACATCACAGATGCTGAATAAATAAAAGTAACCCACCAGGAGTTGCGTCCCCCGGCTGCTGCATTTGTGCCTGAGAAAAGCTCCTAGCAGACCCTTCCACACACTGATGATCGCTGTCCCCTTCCACAGCCCCCACCCTCCTGCAGAGCCTGCAGTTAAAATAGATTTTGGGCCCCTGCCACCTCTTTCTGCTTCTCTGGTCAGCTTGTTTCTCGGACAACAATGGAGAGTTTGAAGCCCATCCAGAGACAAGCTTCCATCTGCCCCGTGCAAGTTCCAGTAATAGGTCACTATTTATAATTATATAAATAATAGAAAAACATGCTCAAGCCGCCCTCCCCAAGGAGCCCCCATCTCCTATTTTGAGGCGGTCAGCCCTCCCTCCCGTGCAGCTGCATCCCTCTGCGGTCTGGGCTGAGACGTAGATGCTGGCGCAGTGCAGCCTGGGAGGGCGGGAGGTGCTTCGCTGGGAGCTGAAGGATCCAGGGAAGTTGGACCCCCAGGAAGACCCTCATCCCAGGCAATCGAGCGGACACGAGTTTCCAACTCAGGGTTGAGTGTAAAGTTCTCGGGAAATGAAGAGAAGGAACAACTATTGTAAAATCCCCTTGTAGAGACCACTCCCCCAAGACCGGAAATGATTTAATAAGAAGTAGGGGCTGGACAGAGATTCGAGTGTGAGTTCTGTTTGTTTGTCTCGCTAGGATCATGGGGAGGAGAGGGACTCAGGGCTAGCAGAAAGAGGAGAGCCAGGCTGGGTATACAGTCCTGGATATTTGCCTCCAGGGGAGGGAATGAACAGTTGTGGAGGAGATGCACCACGCCAGCTGTTTCACTCTTGCTGAATCCTCTCAATAACGATGGGATTGTGGATCCATTATACAGATGAGGACACCGAGGTTCAGAGTGGCAAAGTAACCAACCCAAGGGCACCCAACCAGGAATGGCAGGGCCAGGGTCCAACTCAGGTCTGATTCTAGCTCCTACAGCACGCTGTTGCCCAAGGTTACCTTAAAAGATCAGGGAGTCTTGGGTGAGAAAGGATGGTTTAAAGGATGACCAAAAGGACAACTTTAATTCAAAGTACAACTCGGGGATGATTCTTCTCTGATTCCATTGACACTAAAACCGAGAGACAAAGATATACGAAGCCAGAGTCAGGAGCCTGAACGGGCTTAAGAGAAAAACTGTGTGTGTCAGAGCCGAGACACGGGCAACTGGCATCTTCACCCCGATATATTTTACAAGAGCGTCACCCATCCTTACTTCTCTGAAGTGGTTTAGGTGTGGTCTTCTCTAAGTCAGAGGCCAAGCGAGGTGGCACTTGGAGTCCTCGTAAATTTCTTGGGGGTCAGTGGCCCAAAGATTCAGAAAAGTGTCTTGTTGCTCCCAGACCATTGCCAAGCCGTGGGAGTACCCGCAGGCCAAGTGACTAGAGGGACAGAAGAGCAAACTGGGTGACTAACAGGAACTGCCATTTACACGACTTCATATCTGCACTCTGATTCTAGTTTACCGCCCATTCTGAGCACCTTGGTGTTCCCATCAATCGAATGGGTCTGCGGTGGGTGCCTCTCCTCCAGGCCCCCGCAGCAGCCCGTATCCGTCAGTTTACCACCCGTTAGTGATGGGCTGTTTCTCTCTTTCCTTCTTGGGATCCCTGAGCACAGGCACTGAGTCCTTCACTGTAGTGTCCCAGTTCCTGGCACTCAATAGTGAATGAATGAATGAATGAATGAATGAACGAACGAGCGTATGGATCATAAGAACAGTCCACTGGGTAGTGGTGTGCTGACTTGTCTTGGACCAGCTTGTGAGAGAAAATTGTTAAACATTCAGGCATTTTGCAAACCCCTTGTTAAAGTATTGGTAGCTTGAAATTGACCACAGTGGCAGTATTTACACAGTGGAAATTGGCAAATGCTACAAATCAGGGCTTCCCCGCCCCCTTTTCAGAGACTGTGCAGCTGCACACGGCTGGGTAGCATTTACTAGATCGGGCACTATTTGAAGCACTTTACAAATATTCACATTTCACCCTCACAACCATCCTGAGGAAGGCAGCATTATTATTGCCAGTTTACAGATGGGGAAACTGAGGCCCCGGGAGGTGAAGTCATTTGCCCAAGTGTGGTTTGGGAGTCTTCTTCCCCGACAGGAACGTGGGAGAGCCGAATGAAGACCATCCCCGCCATCTCCGGGCTCAGCTGCCCTTTGCGGCCCCACAGGTACCAGCCATTCTAATCGCGGCCGACGTGTTTAATCAGCTCCTCTGGGAGAAGAGCCAGTTGCCTGGTGACTGAAGTGTTTCCCAGCCCGCAGAAGGTCACGCTGTGTGATGGGAGGATAAAGATCACCACACAGCGTGCCCCTCCGCCAGGGCTCCAGACAGCAGATCCAATCAGACGGCCAGACCCCATGCAGAGCTGCAGCCCTCCCTCCCGCTCTGAGCCAGCCGGCAGAGCCAGAGCCGTCGGTAGGATTGAATTAAAGCCATGACGTCGGAATAGGCGGCAGCAGACTGTTTGTGCATCGCTGCCAGAGAAGGGGGCAGAGCCGGGTGGAGTGTGGGTGTCAGCGCAGGGCCTCCAACCTCAGAGTCATCTCTCCACTCAGGACTGGCCCTTGGCGTGTCGCTTTGGGACCACAGCTGGGGACAATCATGGACTCCCCGAAGATCAGCTTAAGGGCTAGCAGAGTCTCTCCAGGGACCATTCTGGCTTGAACGTTCCAGATCTCCGTAGGCCCTGTGAGAGCCCAAGTCAACCCTTGTTTACTCCTGCAGTGTGGCCTCCCATGTCTGTCTCCGCACCCCTCCGGGAGTTCCTCAGAAGCGAATGTGTGGCTCCTGGTTGCCCCTGGTTGTGGCTCAGGATCGAGCCAGAGAGCTAAATGCAGCAGGGCCTCGATAAATGTGCGATGAATCAACGAACGAACAAACCCACAGACTGTGCCTTGGCGTCCCCACCTTCCCGCTGCCCCAAGGTGTCCCTGCTTATTCTCAAAGCTCTGCAATCAGGAGTAAATTCTCCGTGGTCAGGACACCCCAGCTTCCCGTTCGCCCAGCTCCCCGCTGGCTGGCGAAGGCAGGCGGCTCATTTGGCAGGAGCCCCAGGAGAGCTGACGGGGCGAGGAGGCCTCTGGGAGGAGGGGATCACACTGCGATCTGAAGAGGAAGCCCGGCCAGAAGAAGGGGGGAGGGAGCTCCAGGCGGAAGGAACAAGTGTCTGTGTTGGTCTAGGAGCTAAGGGCGGCCGGTGGGGCTTGAGATGAAGCGGATGGTGTAGACAGGTGATGGAGTACAGACCCGCTCCCTTCACCCCGCACACTGGGGGCCTCTCCGCAGCCGAGGGGCAGAGTGAAGCCATGTGCCCCTCACTGGCCCGGAGCTCCCTCCCAGGGCTTCGTCCCCACCCACTGCCCTGTCTCTAGCCCTGGGAGCAATGATGCCAAGGGGGAGGGGAGGCGGCCAGGAGAGTACCGTTTTCTGCCTCCCCAGCAGAAAGGCCCCCATCATTTAATCCTTGGGTAACGTAACAAAATAAAATTCCAGGAGCTGATTTGTGACTGGGTCTCAGCCGCCAAGGGTGCTTTTGGAATGCAGCCGCCAGGTGCTGCTGGCTCTGTGAATCCGCAGAGAGCAGTGGGCAGTGCGGGTTCAACCAGGACCGGGTTTCAAAGCCCCTGGTGGCTTTGAAAGGCGCCCGTGCCCCTGGAATGGGCTGTGACCCTCAGCTTGGGCCTGGGGAGGTATGGGCACCCTGTGAAGTTGATGTAGGTGGGCCCACCCAAGTCTCCGTCTGTGAGCACCCAAGGACCCGTGCCTGCAGGCCAGCACCATCACAGAGCCTGGCGTGCAGAACAGACACGGAATACATGCCAATCATTGATGGGCAAGTCACCAAGCACTATGGAGCCCAAAGGCCTGGCCTTGGGAACCAGAAAGTGTGGGACCTCCCTGAGAATCAGTTCCCCCCTGGTAACGTAGGTCTGATTCCACAGAGACCACTTTGTGCCATATCCCACCGAAGGCCCTTCTCATGGCCATCTCATTACCTAATTTATCCCCATTTTAGGAGAAGGAATCATAGTGAGACAGGTGGCAGGACTGTCCCTGGCCACCCAGCTTGGCTACAGAGCCCAACCCCTTAAACCATCTCACCACAGACCTTCTCCCAGCAGGCTTGAGGACCACCTGCAGGGCGTTCTCTTGGGCTGTTTGGCTGAAAGGCAGCCCCCTGGGCCCTGCCTGAGTCAGAATCTGGGGGCCGCCCCCCCCCTGCTCTTTAAAGTTTGACCACTCACCACCCCAAGCCCCTGGGCTGTGCGGCTCAGAGGGCGGGTCTGGCACGTGGGTGTGTCCACCATCAGGGTGCTGGGGAGGGGAGGGCCTTTCGTGGAATGAGCGCCCAGCCCGCATTCACGTTGGAGTACTGTTTTTATATCGCCTTTATTGCTGTTCAGCACAGAGCGAATTAATGCTCCCTCTACTCCTTCACTATCCCAGGAGAGATTACCTTCTGAGGCTGGGAGGACGTGTGGTGGAACCGGGGTGGGGGTGGGCATGGAGACCTCTCAGGGGTCCCATCCCTCCTACCTACACCCCAACTCTGCTCGCACCTGCTTCCTTCCAGAGCCGGCTGGGGTGCGGAGGGGCGAGGCGCGATGAGTACGGCCGCTGCTTTGGGGACTGAGGCACCTTGGCGGTGGGCTCCTGGGTCTCTCTACCCCTCCCTGTCCCCTCCCCGCCTTTTTGGCTCCGGGCGGGCCGCTCCTCCTCCCCGCAGTGAGCGAAGCCGGCGCGCGCTAGGACCGCGGCGCGCCGCCCTCCGCCGCTATAAGAGGCCGCGCTGGGGCCCCACGCGGACCCACGGCTCCGACCGGTCCCCGCGTCCCGGCCCGCGCTGGACCCGAGGGCTGACCGGCCGCTGCGCAGCCCACGCCAGCCCGGGGCCTGCGAGGGACTCGCGCCCCGGGGACCCCACTGCGGACACCATGGGCGCTGCCCACTCCGCCTCCGAGGAGGTGCGAGAGCTCGTGGGCAAGACCGGCTGTGAGTATCCCGCGGGGGACGGGCGGGGGACAGGGACGGGAGCACCCACAGGCTGGCCCGGGGGTTCCCAACCCGCCGCCGCGCTGTGTGACCTTGGGCGAGTAGCTGGCCCTCTCTGCGCCTCAGTCTCCCCCTCCTTCAAATGGGCCCCCGCCGGCCACTTTGCAGGCTGCGACGAGGAGCCCGCGGCGATGCTGAGTAAGTGGCACGGCCGCTCAGCTCCGGTGCTCGCGGAGTTGGCTGGGCACCCCCGGGCCCTGGGACTGCGGACGAGAGAGGGAGCAGGGCAGGCGGCCCGGCCCGGGAGAGCGCGCGCCCGTGGATGCCCAGCTGGCGCGCGCGCCCCGCACCTGAAAGTCGTTGGCGTCCCGGTGCGCAGGGGCGGAAAGTTTTGAAGTCGGCGGGACGTGGGTGGGAGCCGGGCTCGTGCGCTGCTCCGCGTGTGACCTCAGGCCGGCGAGCCGGTCTCTCTGCGCCTGCCTTCGTCCTCCCGTCTGTAAAATGGGTTCAGGCAGCGCCCCGCGCCCCCCGGGTGGCTGGGAGGTGTAAGCGCGGCAGCGCCCGCCGAGCGCTTGGCCGGCGTCCGGCGACCTTCCTCGAGCTCGCCCGGACTCCCGGCCCCGCAGAGGCTGCGCGCCCCGGGGCGGGGCGCACGGGGAGGCCGGACCTGGGCGAGCCGACCGCAGGCAAGTGACAGCGGAAGCGCCTGTCAGCCCCGAGGAGGCCGGCGGGGCTCGGCGGTTGACTGGCTTTGGTGATGGGGTCGACCGGGTGTGAGCCCTGCCAGCACCACTTCCTGGCAGTGTCACCTTGGGCTAGTCACTCTACCTCTCTGGGTCTCGGGTTCCTTCTCTCTGGAAAGCGAGTTCTGCAAGTACCTGGGAGATGCTCTAAGAAATGGGAGCTGCAGATAGGATTTCCAGGAGGGAGCTGGCTCCTGGCGCCTGCTTGGAGTTTATGCAGGCAGTCAGCGGCCCTAGGTGATCACCAGGAGTGGGGAGCCCAGCCATTTGCGGTGGGCTAAAAGACGACCCCTCCTGACCCCTAGTCTAAACATCCCTTTCCAGGAGAATTGGGTGAAAATTACAGTAAGCCCTTAATGACTGGTGTGTTAACACGCAAACCTACACAGCCATATATGTATATCTCCTCCTATGTCCAGATATAGAACTGCTTCCAACTGGAGGAAAAAAAGGGTGTGGTGCAGTGTGTATAATATGGAACCCTTTTTGTTTAAAAAAAGAGAAGAGATAAGAGTATATATTTGGAAACGCTTTATTTGCATCAGGGACTTTGGAAAGATCCAAACGGAAGTAAGAATAATGCATAGTTGTTGGGGGATTGGTGGAGGGGGCGAAGGGGGTGCGAGCTTTTTCCTGTAAACTTCTTCATGTTTTCGTTTTGAACCCGTGCGAATATTTTACTTCTTCAAAAAGTGTTGTGAAGTCTAGTTCAACCGCAGGGTTAATGTGAGAGAGCAGGCGGCAGGACTCTGCTTGCCCAGACTTTCTTGGGTTTCCCCTGTTTTGGTGATTTCTTGGGTGTCCTCTCTTGCCTTGTATCTGGCCTGCCGAAGTGGGGGTTCTTTGTAGCTGGGATCTCCCAGGAAGGGGGCCTGGCAGTGCCCACAGCAGGCAGCCGGGGAATTCCGCTGCGTAGTGGGTTTGACAGGTGATGGGCGCAGAGCATGCTGGGAATCTTGTCAGTTTCCTGGGTCCAGTCTCCCACGGGGGATGGTAGATGCTGTGCATCCTGCTCCGTCGCTTTCCTAGAGGTGCCTGATGTGGCTTCCCCTTTTTGCTGCCCAGAACTCAGATTTCACATCCTAAAAGGGGGGAGGGAGACCACGGGGTGGGGGGGGGGGCTGGCAGGGAAGGGGTTCTGAGGTCAGACTGGAGCGGAGGGTGAAAGCCATCACTTCTCTGAACTTAAGTAGGTGGAAGGTGCCGCCTAGTCTTCTGAAACGGTGGCACAGTCTGGGCACTTTTACCCTTTCAGGGTGAGCCAGAGAGGCTGCTGATCCTGTGGGGAGACACACAGCATAAACAAATCACCCTATAGGTGTCAGACTCTCTGAACAAGATATAAAACAGTGGCATGAGAGTCGGGGGAGGGACAGGGGAACATTTCTTTAGGGTGGACCAGGAGGGCCTCTCTGAGGAGGTGGTAATGGAACAGAAATCCAAATAAGAAGGAGCCAGCTACGTGAGGATCAGTGGAAAGTGCATCTCAGGCAGAGGGTGCAGCAGGTGCAAAGGCCCTGGGCAGGAAGGCGTTGAGGACGATAAGTGAGAATTGTATGCAATGAGGACAGAGCCATAGTCAGGGCTCAGGGTGTGGCAGGAGCCTGATTTAAGGTGCTTTGCTAGGTCTGTGGCCTTGGGTGAGTCATTTATGCTCTGTGTGCCTCAGTTTCATCCTCTGTAAAATGGCGATAGTAGTCATACCTTCCTCCGGGTTGTTGGGAAAGAAAAAGTGAATGAATATATGTTGAGTGTTACTGGCCACGCTTTAAATACATTTGCATTTTTGGTCACTCTGAGCCACGGCTAAGAGTTAAAGCTTGGTCTCACTTCTGCCCTTCTGCATGACCTTAAGCAGGTTGTTTTACCTCTCTGAGCATCGGTGCCCCTATCAAAGATCATGTATGTTTGATGTATGTGAAGTGCTTGGCCTGGCAGGCAAGCGTCGGTTCCCAGGATCCTGCGGGCTGGACAGAGCCCTTGGGAAGCCTTCCTGGGGAGCAGGAAGAGCCTAGGGCCTGGGCGGCCAGAGAGCAGGCTGCACCCTCAGGGTGGCTGGGCTCCCCTCGCCTCTCTGAGGACCAGGATGGTCCCCGATTTGAAGAATGAGCCTAGTCTCCCCCTGAGGACTCCATCCAGAAACGATGAGCCAGGCGAGCCTAGCATGGTGATGGTCTACGTCACTCCTTGAGCACAGGCTCTGTGCCGAGCACCTCGCGTGCATTCTCATGGAATCTTCCTAAGAACCCTCCAGGGAAGGTAGTAATATGATCATTTTATAGATGAGGGAAACTGAGGCTCAGCGGGAGAAAGCAACTCGCCTGCGGTCCCGTGACTCCTAAGTGGAGCAGTAGGGGTCCCAGGATGCCCGAGGCGACTGTCCTGCCACTACTGTTAGGGGCCCAGAAGGGCTAGCAACAGCCTGCCCAAATATTTTTCTCATGTCCAGGCCTTTGCATAGGCTGTTCCCTCTGCCTGGAGCACTCTTCATTTTACTGTGGACAATTCAGCATTTGCATATGGGAATCCGTCTGTCACTGCCACCCAGATTAAGACTGCAAACATTTCCTCTTAAGCCTGTTGCTTGACGAAGCCCTGACTCCTCCTCATTCGGGGCTCAGCTTAGCGCTTGTTGCTCCCTTCCAGAAAGCCCTCCCTGCCTACTCTCCATGCAGCCTTTGTGGGCTCAGCGCCCGTCCTCGGGACACCCGCAGCCCTGCATTCCCTGCTGTAATAGCACACATCACATCCCGCCGCGTTATCACTGTTGGCGCTGGCGTCTGCCACCCTCTCGAGACTTGGAACTCCTTGAGAGCAGGGAGAATGTGTCCTGTTCACCTTTGTGTGTGGCACGTGGTACCCAGAACACAAGAGGTTCACGGTGAAGAGGTAAAGACCCTGGGGACTTTATAACCCGAGGAGTCCTGCCCAGGAGCGTGTGTCCAGTAGAAAACCTAGTGCCACCCCATCAGCTGGCCTTGGTCTGGCCAGCGGGCCCGGCACCTCTGCTTCCCTCCCCACACCATGCATTCCCTGGGCTTCAGTGCTGAGCCAGCCCTCCCTCCCAAAAAACAGGCCTGAGCACAGACTCGCCCACGCAGGGCTTCCTCGGGTCTGCACACCCACCTCCCCTCACCTGTCAGTCTCACTGATTGATTTCAAACATAAGCAAGTATTTCCAACCATCTTTTCTGAGCCCAGAAAGCTGACTACCTAGATTGTTAAAATTCGTATTCAAAACCCGAGCGAAGGCATCCTGGCTCTGTGTGTGAGTGGTGAGCGGGGCCTTCAGAGGCTCCCCCACAGTGGGAATGGAGCCAAGCCCACTGTGTGTCCCGAGGTGTGAAATGGGCCCTGGACAGGAAGAAAGGCTCCTTAGGAATCACTTTTCAGAGTTAGTTCCCATTTGCTACCTGGCGCTGGCCTGGCCGTGGCCACTTCCTGTCCCTTCCAGTATGTGCCTGCTCCTGGAGCTGGAAAGGAAACAAGAGGAGGATTCTGGGAAAGGTGCAGGGTCTATTTTTTCCTTCAGCCTCCAAAACAGCTCTGCAGGCATGACTGTGTAGATGCCAAGAAGCTGCCAGAAGGAAGGCGAAAAAACAATCTCCCAGATCTGCAGTTCAGACCTCATCAGGGTAATAGCTAATGTTTGTCAAGAGCTTGTCATCTGCCACACTGAGCCGTGTGGTTTATCTGCAGCCGCTCATGAAATCCTCCGGGAACACTCTGGATTTCCCATTTTACAGATGAGGAAATCGAGGCTCAAGAGATGACGTGACTTTGGGGCCAGCCTGGTGGTGCAGTGGTTAAGTTCGCACATTCTGCTTTGGTGGCCCAGGGTTCACCGGTTCGGATCCCAGGCATGGACCTACACACTGCTTGTCAAGCCATGCTGCGGCAGGCGTCCCACGTATAAAGTAGAGGAAGATGGGCACGGATGTTAGCTCAGGGCGAGGCTTCCTCAGTGAAAAGAGGAGGATTGGGGGCGGATGTTAGCTCAGGGCTAATCTTCCTCAAAAAAAAAAAAAAAAAGATGACGTGACTTGCTGAAGGCCACAGGCCACTGAGAAGTAGAGTCGGGTACCCATTCCTGGCCCCTAGCTCTCATCACTTGGGAGGGAGCAGAGATGTGGGGAAGCGTGTGTGGCCCAGGCCGGCTGGTGGGGGTGGCACTGCGTGTTCCGCTGGATTCTCAGCTCTGCGCATTACTCTTGGGTTATAGTCTTCAAGTGGCCCCAGACCACGCCCTTGGCCCAC